CATTCTTTACTTTCATAGCATGTCTAACATGTCTGTTCACGGTGATATCTTCCTACCGAGTACTACTGCTAGATACGGATTTCCAGCCAGGCTTGCTGATGTCGGCAATCCTGAAGGATGCTTGGTGATTTCTGCTTGATTAGTACTTTCTTAAAAAGAAACCGCAACATTTACTTAATGCGATAAGCTATAATTCTGTACTTTGCTACTTTCTTTCATATATCTATAATATTTTTAGCAACATATTTCTTCATGCAATACCCTATTCTACTGTACTCTGCATTATACTCAACATCATACTGCACCCTGTGATACACTATATACGAATATACCTTGCTACATACTGCACCCTGTGATACATAATACTACTCTGCTTTATACGGCATCCTGCTATACTCTATTACTCTATACACTCTGCATCATATTGCGTAGTACTATAATCTGCAACATACAGCATTCAATACTACTAAATGTTGCAACATACTTGTCCTGTGATCCGGTCTACTATTATACTCTACATCATATTCTATACTACTCTACTCTGGTTCATACTGCATCCTTGATAATCTGTACTACTATACTCTAATGTACTACATCCTGTCATACTGTTTTGGATCAAACCAAGTGTTTGTGTATCTGAGTATCTGCTCCTGTCCAAATTATTCAAAATAGAAGCGTGCACGCTCTGAAGTAAATCACACTGAGACACAAAGTTTCAGGTTAATGAAAAACTTTGGAATGTTTAATCAGGGGGCTGGGAGCCCCTTATAAAGGCAGAAAGAAATCCTATGCAAAACATGAGAACATGGAAAGTACATCTTTAAAGGACCACTATAGTGCCAGGAAAACATACTCGTTTTCCTGGCACTATAGTGCCCTGAGGGTGCCCCCACCCTCAGGGACCCCCTCCCGCCCGGCTCTGGAAGGGGGAAAGGGGTTTCAACTTACCTTTTTCCAGCGCTGGGCGGGGAGCTCTCCTCCTCCTCTCGCCTCGATCCTCCTCCTGGGCTGAATACGCGCAGCAGCGGCAAAGAGCCTGCTGGCGCATTCAACCATTAAGCACTGGAAAGCATTTGCAATGCTTTCCTGTAGACGCTGCGTGCTCTCACTGTGAAAATCACAGTGAGGAAACGCATAGCGCCTAGTAACTGTCAATGCAGAGACAGCCACTAGAAACCAGGGAAGGCTTAACCCATTCATAATTGCGCCAGCAGTTTCTCTGAAGCTGCTATAGTATGAAAAAATAAAATTAACCCTAGCTGAACCTGGCACTTTGAACCACTTCATTAAGCTGAAGTGGTCACAGGTACTTATAAGTATTTTCCTTTTAATAGGTCAAGTGTTAAGTGTCTTATCTAATACAAGTCCTCCAAAGTGTGATGTCATGATGTCACCAGCATTCTGGGTGTAGTCTCTCTTGAGACGCCATCTTAGTACATGACATTCTTTACACGATGGTAGGGGTGCTAGCAGCCATTTTGAGCAGTTAATGAACACAGGATGGGAGGGGGTGCTCTAGCAGCCATTTAAGTAAATAGACATTTTATTAACATTAATTTCTATCCATAACAATACTCTACCATATTGCATCCTGCGATACTCCATACTACTGTACTCTGCATCATACACTATCCGTGATACTCTAGACAACTATACTGTGCCACAAACTGCATCCTGCGATACTCTATACTACTATAATTTGCAGTTTAATGTTTACTACTCTATTCCACTATACTCAGCAGCATAATAAGACTCTAAACTACTATATTGTACGACAATCTGCTTACTGCGTTAAAGGACCACTATCGTGCCAGGAAAACTCATTTTCCTGGCACTATAGGGTCTCTGGGTCCCCCTCCTGCCAGGCTCCAGGTGGTGGAAGGGGTTAAATCTTACCTGTTTTCCCCCCCCTGCCGGGCTTCCTCGGTGCGGGGAACTTTCCCCCTTCTTTTCGTCGTCATCAGCTGAATGCCCATGCGCGGCAAGAGCCGCGCGCCCATTCAGCCAGTCCATAGGAAAGTATTCTCAATGCTTTCCTATGGACGCTGGTGTCTTCTCCCTGTGATTTTCACAGTGAGAAGCGCGGAAGCGCCTCTAGCGGCTGTCAGTGAGACAGCCACTAGAGGCTGGATTCACACATTTGTAAACATAGCAGTTACTCTGAAACTGCTATGTTTACAGCAGAAAGGGTTAATCCTAGATGGACATGGCACCCAGACCACTTTATTAAGCTGAAGTGGTCTGGGTGCCTATAGTGGTCCTTTAATCGTTCTACTAGACTCTGCATACAGTATGCAGAGTCTAGTAGAATGTTTAACGCAGTAAGCAGATTGTCATAGAATATATTACTATACTCTACATAACACAATCTCTACACCACTAGACTCTGCAACAATAGACATACTGCAACTTTCTATGCTTCCGTACTCTGCAATGGTATGCCTACTGCAATATTATGTACTTCTGTAGTCTGCTTCATACTACATACTGCTATACCCTACATTTTATACTTTTAAACTATTGACACTGTGCATACTACCATACTTGGCAACATACTGCAATACTCTACTATAAACCAGAGCAATCTGAATTTTGCATACTGCGCTACCCTACTATAAACTACAGCAATCTGAATACTGTGATACCCTATATGACTTTAATCTGAACTATTATACATATTGCAATACTCTATTCTACCATATTCTGTAACATACTGCAATTCTCTATACTACTATACTATGTTACACTTTGTAAACAGCGATATTTTATCTT